AAAAAAAAAAAAAAAAAAAAAAAAAAGTTCTCCTCTGAAGCCCATTTGGAGGGCGGGTACTGGGGATCAAACTTGGGACCTTGCACTTGTGAAGCAGGTGGTGACACCACTGAGCTAAATCCCTGGCCCCCAAAAACCAGTTCTTCAGTATATACACATAAGAGATTCTGTAACATAAATAGTATACTATGCATAGTGTTCTTTCATACTTTGCTTTTTTACCATAGCAATCTATTCATTGTCTAATAAAGGGCTTTCTGATCATTTTTCATGGCAGCATATGTTGTATTACATGGATTTACCGTAGTTTACTGTGAAGTCCCTTATGGAGATTTATAATCCATATTTTTTCAACTATTAATAATAGCAGAACAGCAATCTGTATGTCATTATAAACAGTTTATAGTTGTTTCTGACATTTTCCCCACATGCCTGTAATCCCAGCACTCCGGGAGACTAAGGCAGAAGAATCAAAAGTTCAAGTTCAGCCTGGGCTGAACTGTGCAAGACTGTCTCAAAAAATAAAAATGAGCTAGGATTAGAATTCAGTGTAAAGGTCCTTTGTTCAGTTCCCAGTACTGCATTCACAAGAAAGAATCCTGTGGATTGTCTTTTGACATTGTAATGTTTTTTCTGTACAAGAGTTTTTAATTTTGTATGTTCTTGATTATACTAGTTTTATCTGGGCTGACCATGGGTTTTAGTGTCAAGCAAGATTAATTTTAAGATGCTTTTATTTCAGGCTGATACCATGCTAAAGATGGGCTTTCAACAGCAAGTGCTTGACATTTTGGAAAACATTCCTAGTGATTGTCAGACCATTTTGGCTTCTGCCACAATTCCAACTAGCATAGAGCAACTAGCAGGCCAGCTTCTGCGTAACCCTGTGAGAATTATCACGGGTGAAAAGAACCTGCCGTGTTCCAGTGTGCGTCAGATTATCCTGTGGGTAGAAGACCCAGCCAAAAAGAAAAAGTTATTTGAAATCTTAAATGTGAGTAACAAGACTGTGTTTGCATTTTCCACAGCTTCTAAGAGACTTATTTCTAGAGGCAGCTTTTGGTGAACTTGGTCTTAGTAATATGTTGTAATATGTTGCTTTACCTTTGTTAGAATTCTGTGAAGATAAATAAATGTGTGTGAAAACATGCTGTATAGGTGCAGGTAAATATTTATCTTTATTTAAATATTCAGATAAATAAGATATTTAAATATTAAGATTATCCCTTAAGAATTTTTTTACTTTCAAAAAAATTTCAGTACTTTTATATGTAAGGTAGGTTTAACCTATTTCTTGGCTGTTCTGTCCTTGGTACATTTTTGACTATGACTGATTTAATTGAAATTTCATAAGTGGCTGATACAGTATGTATAATATAGTTACAAATACAGTATTGAGCTAACTGGGGTTTTTTTGACTCATGAGCAGAATTTAGAACTATATTAATTTCACCCAAATTTTTTAGAAAATATTGGCAATTTAATGATGCAGAAATGTGAAAGGCAATAGAATGGCTTCTGTTTGTACACATTTTAAAGAACATGTGTTTTTAATAGAACATGGGCTGAGGATTTAGTTCAGTGGCGCTGCACCTGCCTGGCAAGCGCAAGGTCCTAAATCTGATCCCCGGTAATAGGTGTGGGAGGTGGGGCAACAAAAAGAACAGAACATGCTCTTTTTCTTCCTTAAAACTTTGTATAAACCTTTCAATAACTAATTTGTATTAATGCTTTTAGAAAAACTTCTCATTGTAAATTATAGGAATAATTTAAAATCATGTTTTTTGCTTTTCAGGATAAGAAGCTCTTTAAGCCCCCAGTGCTAGTGTTTGTGGACTGCAGGCTGGGAGCAGATCTGCTGAGTGAGGCAGTGCAGAAAATCACAGGTCTAAAAAGCACATCAATACATTCAGAAAAGTCCCAAGTAGAAAGGAAAAGCATACTGAAGGTTTGACATTCAATATTCTTCTTTTTCCTGTAAATCTGTTTTTCCTCATTTTCAAGAGACAGTGTATTTCCAGCTGGTTTTTAAAGCAGACCTTCTTTTTTAAGAATGTGAAAATTTCAGGCAACCAATAACCATGAAGTTAATTATTCCTTTGTTCAGGCTTCTGTGTTTTGGGAGGGGTGTGCCTGTTCTCTAGGGATTGTATACTAAGTGGATTACTAGTTCAGAATTCATCATTTCTGAAATCAGGTCAGTTTGGTCTGGGCCAGAGCAGTAATTTATCTTTGGAAAAGAATTGGCTGAGTAAATTAATACAATAAATTGCTCAGAGGTTAGAGAGAATTTAAACTGCATAGATTTTTCAGGTATAACAGGACACTATTTATTGAAAAAAATGTTGTGAAAATATCAAAGGAAGTATTTGAAAAAGAAGATAGCAGAATTACATAATACCACATAAAATATATTCTGACATACTCTTGTTGCTTCTTTGGAAAGGGATTACTGGAGGGAGGCTACGAAGTTGTGGTGAGCACAGGAGTCCTGGGGCGGGGCCTGGACTTGGTCAGCGTCCGGCTGGTTGTGAACTTCGATATGCCTTCGAGTATGGACGAGTACGTGCACCAGGTGAAGAGGCTCCTCCGCCTGTTACCACATTTGGTTCATGAGTTTTATTGAGTAAGGCATTGTCAGTGCGATGTTAAGTTTAAAAAAAGCACGACATAAAACTGTATACTTTCATTCTTAATATATGTATGCATATAAACTAAATTTTGATTTTAAAGGCTATTTGTATGTTTACAATGCATTTTTAAAAACTGGTTGGGCACAGGGCACACACCTGTAACGCCAGCTACTCAGGAGCACCATAAATTTGAGCCCAGTATGGGCAACACAGCAAGACCTTGTCTCATAAATAAATGAATGGATAGGACTGGGGGTTTAGCTCCCTGGCGTCACCACCTCCCTTGCAAGCACAAGGTCCTGAGTTCGATCCCCGGTACTGCAAAAAAATAAAAACAGATAAATAAATGAAGGGATGGGTGGAAGGATGAATGAATGAGGTAGCTCTGTGTTTCCTGGGGTCGATTCCCTAGGACTCTAATTGGGGAGGGGGACCCTGAAATGTTAACTAAAAACAAATTTAGGTACTAAATTATATTTTTTCTTCAGTGCGTATACTAATTGTTTTCTAACCAGAAAAGAAAAACTGTTTAAAAATGATTGTTTTAGGTTGATATAGCTGGCCAAAATAAAATTGATCCTTTAGCACAGTATTTGTTTTTTAGGAATCGTATCTTTATCTTCTCTTCATATCCTTATTTGTTCTAGTCTTTTCACCTTTTAAATTTTTGTTCCTTTCTTTTGCTGCTAAAGGTAACAGTAGCTTCTCTTTCTCACCAAAATAGAGCCTTCTTTCAGCGCCACACTATCTCCCTGCCCGCTGCCTATCTTCCTTCTCGGGCATCACTTACAGGACCTGTCATGCAGAGCCTTTCTCTGACGTTCTTAGAATCACCTCTGAATGCCACATTTCCTTGATTCGCCCATGAAGTGCTTCTAGTACTTGTATTTTTGGTACCACCTCATTTGCCTGCATATTAGCAAATGGAGTATCCCACAGCAGTCAGGTGTTCAAATGACTGGTTTGTTTTCTTCCACGATTTTTACTGATTTTGAATGGAAATCTTTCCATAATATTATTTAAGACACTTCTTTGCTTTTTAAATAGAGTGTGCTGGATGACCTTTCTTGCTATCCCAAGGCCAACTCTGTGACTCCAAACTACTCACTGTGTACCGTACTGTGACACAGCAGTGGCATCAGGAATTGCTGAAGTTTGTAGGATTTCTTACCTCTACTAAAAATGGCTCTAGAACTTTGTGCCTTTCTAGTTCTGTATATGGGTTTTTCTGGTTTGTTTACTTGCTTCTGTAATTAAAGTTCATATCCATATGATAACAAATAATGCAAAAGATATTAAATGAAAAGCCTTCCTTTTCCTATTGCTTACCTTTGAGTAGTTATCACAGTTAACCATGCAGAAAATATAAACATATTCATGTGTGTACACATGCACATAGTTACACACATATTACACATATGTAAGTGGGACTACATTGTACCATCCTGTGTCTATTAAACATGCCTTAGATAACTCTCCTAACATAATAGGTACCATTTAGCATATGTTAATTTGTACCAAACGCTTACCATATGTCCATGCATTGCTCTGAGCTCTTTAAATGAGCTTTTACTTATTGATCTGAATTGTTTTGTTTTCATATTTGCAAGGTAGTATATTATATGAATGCACTATTATTTTTAACATATCCATATCCTTTATTGACGGATAATCAAATGTGTCTAGAATTTTTATTATTAAATAATGCTGTAGTAAAACCCTCAAGCGCTTATCTCTTTGTGCCTGTTTGTGAGTGTTACCGTAAGATAAATTCCGCCAGGGGTGTGTGCTTCTAGTCCCTCCTACTTGGGCGGCTGAGGTAGGAGAATTCTTGAGCCCAACAGATCAAGACCAGCTTGGGCAATGAGGTGAGATTCTGTCTCCAAAAAAAAAAAAAAAACAATCCTAATAGAATTGCTAAGCTAAAGGATGTGCACTCAGAATTTAAAATTATAACAGGAATTGCTGTGTGGTATCTTTTTTAGTTTTAGGAGTGGAGAGCTTCTGGAAGAAATAACTTGACATGTGTCAACATCAACTACATTTTAGAGTTTGGAGATTATTTCAGTTATTTTCTAACAACTATATCTGTAAAGTATCTCAGTAGATGTTATTCACGTGCTACACAATTCATCCATCTAAAGCGACTTGGTTAAGTGGTTTTAATTTATTCATAGAGTTGTGTAACCTTGATGCAGTCAAGCTTAGAAAAACTTTACCACCCTACATCTTCAGTCCCTTTCCATTCCACACCACACACTGGCAGGCACACAGGTCCCCCACTAGTAGCCACTTCTCAGTCTTTCTGTCTGTAGACTTCTGTATATTTCATATCAGTGGAATCGTGCAGTGTGTGGTCTTCAGTGACTTGTTTCTTTCACTTAACATGTTTTGTGTTCACCCATATTGTGTCATATATCAGCACTTCATTTTTTATTGCCAAATAGTATTCCACCGTGTAGGCGTATCGCCTTTGCTTATCCACACACTAGTTGCTAGACATTTAGATTGTTTCCACTTTTTGGCTACTGCCATGAAAATTCATATGAAAGCTGTTGTGTCCACCTGTGTTATAATTCCTACTGGCTTGGTACCTAGAAATAGAATTTCTGGGTCATGTGATAGCTCTACATTTAACGTTTTGACCATTTTACTCTTTTATATTCCTGCCAGCAATATATGAGAATTCCAGCTTCTCCACATCTTTGCTAACAGTTATCACTTTTAGATTATGACCACTCTACAAGTGTAAAGTGATGTTTCATTGTGGATTGACTTGCATTTTCTTAATGGCTTAAACATCATATGTGCTTGTTGGGTACTTGTACATCTTCTTTTGAAAATGTCTGTATACATCATCCGTTTTAAAATTGGGTTGTCTTTATTTTATTTTATTTATTTCTTTTTTGGTACCGGGGATCAAACTTGGGCCCTTGCGGCAAAAACACTGAGCTAAATCCCTGGCCCAGGTTGTCTTTATTTTTAAGTTTAGAAGTTTTTTTGCATACCCTGAAGACTTTTACTGATACACAAACTGCAAATACTTTCTCCCAATCTGGATTTCAGCTATTGTTTATATTGTTATTTTTATTGGAACACTTTAATAACATAGTTAAGCAAATCAGTGAAAAATGAAAACTTGAAATGCAGTGTTCATTTCCCTCATTTCTCATTCTCTTGCCCTAAAGGCCATTCCTTTCACCTCTCACAGGTTTCTTCTTTCACAATGTTAAAAATATCTTGTATATTTATAGGAACCACCTATTCTTTTAAATATTTCTGAATGAGGACTTTAACATTTGCATTTTCACTTAATGAGCAGAAGCTAATGGTATTGTATGTTTTTCCCATCTTCTGAAGAGTTTCTCAGTATATTTTCATTGTATATTTGGAGACTTAGGGCCTTATTTTAGGTTCCCATCACAAATTGGTGTGCATTTAATTCTATCAAAGTGAGAATTAACTATGCAAAAATGAATTAATTTAAATCTGCCATGCCAGGACACTTTAGTATACTAAAGCAAACAATCCTATTGTGGTTAACGCAAGGGCTTTTATCTTATTTTATTTTTTTATTAATTTTAACGCACTTGCAGAAGTAAGAAACATCTCTGTTGTCACCCACACACCCCATACACACACATAGGTATAACTGAGACAAAGATTTCACAAACGTTATGTACTTTTACATGTGACCATTTTGTTTTGTTTTCATTTTTTGTGTGAGCTGTTTCATAACATACATTGGTGGCTGCCCACTAAATTGATTTCACAAATGTATTGAGATGCATTGTTCAAAAAATGCTATTTGAATGTTAATCTTAGTAAAGCATCTTTAAATGATAATCTTCATTTTCTTTCAATAGACTTTGTAGGAGCATTAATATTTTCTATGAGCATTTTGAAAATGTCCTTTGTATTTTATTTCAGATTGGAAGAGTGGGGAGATTAGGTCAGAATGGAACATCAATTACTTTCATCAATAACAATTCTAAAAGACTCTTCTGGGATATTGCAAAAAGAGTAAAGCCCACAGGATCCATTCTTCCCCCACAGTTATTAAATTCTCCTTACCTTCATGACCAGAAGAGAAAGGAACAACAGAAAGATAAACAGACACACAATGACCTGGTTACAGGAGCTAATCTTATGGACATTATTAGAAAACATGATAAAAGTAATTCTCAAAAGTGACTTGTTCTACCACTTTGAATATTTTTTATTGTGAATTTTCAGCAAATAATGCAAATGAAAGAGATTTTTAAAGATATTTTTAATTTAATAAACTTGATACTGGAATACAATATTTATTCCCTTTCTTAATTGTCATAAAAATAAAGTCAGAAAGTGAACCTGTGAAGTAAATAAAAATTTTCTCTGAACAGTGTGTTTTTTTTTGTTTTCGATACCTGCTTTTTCTGTGACAGGGTCTTGCTATGTAACCCAGGCTGGCCTCAAACTCATGATCTTCCTGCATCAGCCAGGCATGAACCACCACCACACCTGGATGTTTTTATTTTTTGTTTTTAAAAATAACTATTCAGAACTGTTGACAAGAGTCAGAACTGTGCAACGCAGCAAGGAGTCTCACACAGAATGGTGGTTCTTTGGGCTGGGAATTTAGCTTAGTGGTGCGGCCGCTTCCCTCAAAAGCACACAGTCCAGAGTTCAATCCCTGCTACCAAAACAAGAAAAAACCAGGTAAACAGAATGGTTGTTCTTCGGCTTTTGCCTACGGTGCTGTAGGCACATTGCCTCTTGAATTACTGTTGAATGTTAGAAAGGAAATGATTGAAACAGGAAAAAATGGTCAGAACAAACTTCTTTTAAAGGATGAATTTTGGGGTTGGGGATTTAGCTTAGCAGTAGAATGCTTGTCTAGCAAGCGTGAGGCCCTGGGTTTGGTCTTCAGCACCAAAAAATTTAAAAAACAAGCAAAAGACAAAAACTGAAGAGAAAGTTCATATGGCTGCTGGGCCTATGGCTATGCGAACAGTGTCCCTGAGTTGTGTGTCCAGGTCTCTGCATGTTTTAGGGCATTTGTGAGAATTAAGAGGTGTATGATGTAGGAATAGTTGGTAGCAGTGCCAATGCTAGAAACCAGGACAGCTGTGCCTTGGCCCTTTGCCCACAATGACCTCTTTTGGTTTTGTTGAGACAGGGTCTCATTCTATAGTTGAGACTGACTTGGAACTCACTATGTATCCCAGGCTGGTCTTGAACTCACAGCGATCCTCCTGCCTCAGCCTCCTGAGAGCTGGGATTACAGCTCCACCATGCCCGGCTGCCCACTATAATCCCTTAGCTCCTTGGTTACAGTTCTGCGAACCCTCACCATTTAGATTCATGGCACTTCTGACACACTAAGGAGAACACAGCTCTGGTGAGTCTCTGGTGCTGGGGTCGGTACAGATTTGCATAGGACTTTAGCCAAGAGCCAAGAAAAATGAAGTCTGTCATGATTTCATGAACATCACAGCTTGATTTTGTCCTCATTATGTGTCTGTTTTATGAAAGGAAACACAATCCCCAGTAGCAAATGTGAAAGACAGTGTTTTATTTGGTTGAAAGAGCCACCAAGTAGCCACTTAATATAAAACTTTTGCTGTGATGGAGAAATAGTTTCATTATACAATTTCATTTAAAATAAGTGCTAAAACAAAATAGTAATTATGAATATGGAACTATGGATTTAATAAAATTACTAATGATAGCAAATAATCATTAGTTGAACTGTTGGGTGACCAGTTTCTAAGTTTGAAATGGAAGTGATGATGTAACTATTTCTTTGAGTACTGTTGTCAATGAAATTAGAAGATGAATAAAGAAATGATCAAGGGCCAGGGATTTGGCTCAGTGGTTCCAGTGCCTGCCTTGCAAGCACAAGGGCCAGAGTTCCATCCCTGGTACAAAAAAAAAAAAAAAAAAAAAGATCAAAGGTCAAGGAAGGTAAGACCGTAGATTAATGAAATAAATGAGAATGACTGATACTCCTTTTTTCTTGCTGTTCTTATTAACACCAACACAGAAGGAAACACAACGGAGAACCAATATGTGGTTGCAATGAAGAAGGTAAGGTTAAGTGTTCTCTTAGATTGGTTATTATCTACAATTCAAAGCTACTGGAGATGCTAAGGATTAAATTACTCCTAAGATCATAGAATTGCCTTCTAACTACACAACAGGCACTATTCTGCTGACAAATGAAAAGGAACCATTGTAGATCAAAAAATCACTTAGTGATTCTTTAAGGAACAAAATAATGGCCCACACTTTTAAATTGTTTAAGGAAAACAAGGTTACCTGCTGTAGCATTTCCTGGGTATCCAGCAGGGCTGTAATTATATTTGACAACCCATTTCATCCTCACAAGCACTCTATGAGGTACCTACTATTTTCAATCCTCATTATGCAGATTCCAGAGAAGTTCTCTAAGGTGCCCAAGGTAAGCCGCACAGCCAGGATTCAAACCCAGGCAGTCAGGCTGTAGCATCCGTGTACAGAACTGAACCACTGCCCGAGTTGTTTTGTTTTTGTTTTACCTCCTAGGGATTGAACCCAGTATCTGCAAAGCAAGCACCCTATCCCTGAGCTACAGTCCCATCCCCCAATTTTTGATACAAATAGGAAATCATGCAAGTTCCTTCCTCTGTGTGATGCTCATTCTTCTTTGTTCTTCCCAAAGCGAGGACTGCTTTCTCTGTTTAGAAACAAATCTCCAGTGCTGGGGCCTATTTTGTTTCCGAGACACTTTGGGTTGTGTGAATGCCAGGTCCTGTCCTGCCTTTCCCAGTGAGTGTCACGTCCATGGTGCGTTCTCTGCGTCAGGGCTGTCGTCACTTCAGTGGTTCCTGGTATTTGTGCCTTCTGTGTGTGCGAAGTCACTGCTATCTCTACCTGGCTTTGTGGCCCTTGGGCTTGTGAGGTGCCTCCTGGGCTCCAGCAGTCCCTTCCTACACCTCAGGATGTGGCAACTCTCCAGGCTGACGCGTATCCTTCACCGCGTCAGCAGATCCACTGCGCTCTGTCGTTACTGCGACAAACTGTACGCACTGGTCCTGAGACTTTTTCATTCATTCATTCATTCATCCAGTGAGGTCTGGCTCAGCACCCGTCCCACAGAGCCCCTGCGGAGATGCCTTGGAGACGCAGGCTGTGCCATGGACTCTCTGGTCTCGGGGCACACACACTCCCCGGGGGAGGGGTGACCCCCAGGGGGGCTTCCGGCAGCTTCCAGCTGCCCTCGTGCATCCGGTTTACGGGTGGTGGTGGGAGGCAGGGAGCCCACGTGATCAGAGATGTGGGCCGCAAAGGCCCTTTATTTTGTTTCCCCCCAGCGGCCATTGCTGATCTTTCACATCCCTTTTATGCATTTATGCTGTAGTGGTATATGTTTACGATACATAGCAGTTACATTCAGCTTGTAGGAGACACATACACACGGAAGCTTGAGCACTGTCACTACCCCTGGCCCCCGTCTTCCCTTATCTATCCTTCCCCAGCTCCCTGTTCCTTAACATGTCTCTTTCATTTTATTCTTTATTTATATTTTGGGTCTCTCAGAGACACCGTGTGATATTCAGTCTTCTGTGTCAGACATTCCACTAAGAGTTATGGCCCAAAGATCTATCCAGTTTCCTACAAATGAGTCAAATTTACCTTTTTTTTTTCTCCATGGTACCCGGAATCAAACTCAGGACCTTGTGCTTGCTACACATGCATGTCGCCACTGAGCTAAATTCCTGGCCTTCTCCATTCATCTGTTGATGGACATATAGGCCACTTCCATGATTTAGCTCTCTTGATACCAGCAAGAGACTAGGTCTGCTGCACCTGTGCCGCCCAGTCCGATGGGACAGTAAAAGGAGCAGAGAGGTGGGGCAGGGACCCTTGCCTCCCAGCAGCTGCAGCCACTTCTCTGCAGACCTCGTGCTGCTCTGGCTGCAGGGCACAGTGCCAGGCAGCCTTGGTAACCCTCCCTCCACCTGGCAGCACCGCCCTTCTCCTCCCCTGCCTGGTGGGCTGGTGCTGTCCTGATGCAGCCTGACTGCCCAGACCCAGGCACCTTCCTTCATGTCTACTTTTCCCGTCACAGTTGGTGGATCTCTCCAGCTCCCTCATGATTAAAATGTGTGCTGGCTCAGGTCAGACTGACCCCGATGAATTAATTTATACTGTGACTGTGACAAAATGACTTTCTCATTTTTTTTAAGGGAACAATTATATGTCCGATTTGGATAATTCTAAATGGAGTGGTAAGATTTCGAGAATCAAAAAATAGGAAATAGGGCTGGGGATTTAGCTCAGTGGTGCCACCACCTGCCTCACAAATACAAAGTCCTGAGTTCGATCCCCAGTACCAAAAAAAAAAAGGAAATGTGGGCTTGAGGTGTGGCTCTGTGGTACAGCTCTGCCTGTACCAGGCCTTGGGTTCAATGTCACCACTGAAAAAAGAAATAGGGAATCATAACAGCTAAATTATTAGATGCTGTGTGTCAGGCAAATGTATTACCTCATTTAATTCTTACAACTCTATGAGGAAGGTATTACCTGCAGTTCACAGATGAGAAAACCAAGGCACAGAGAAGTTAGTTAAGTTGTCCAAGGCCACTGTGGCTGTAGCTGAGTGGTAGAGCCCCTGCTTAGCATGCTGAATGCCCTGAGTTTACTCTCCAGTGGCACACACAAAACAAAACAGCCAGAAGTTGCCCAAAGCCATACCTAGTAAACAGTGGAGTTGGAATTCAAACCTAGGCAATGTGATCTGGTGCTTCACTCTTCTTTTATTTAAAAAAAAATACGGCCGAGGATGGAAGCCAGGGCTTCACACATTCCAAGTAAGTGCTGCACCACTGAGTCCTATACCCAGCCCTGGAGCTTCACTCTTGCATCAACTGTGAAAGATGTGAGGTACTTCCAGTGTGAGTTTCCACAGTAGCCTATTGATTACATCTCCTGGACAATCCAAAGCCTGGCCCACATCCTGAGGACAAGTAGTAAACTTGTAAAGCTTTCTCCTTGATGAAGATGGGTGCAAACACGGCCTAAAGCCCAGGAGCCCTGCATCTAGTAGGTATCTGACAGATTACTTTGTTCAGCCTCCTCAGTTCACAAGTGAAGAAACAGAATCAATGAGGTTTGCCTGGGTTCATTGCCCTTCCTGACATACAATGGCCTGTACAGTGTTCTTAAAGTGTCAATGAATCATTTCTTCTCCACCTTCACCACACAGTTACCAAATCAGTGGTCCGCAACCTCCAAACATCTG